ACATAGCCAAAACATTATTGGACACAAATTGTAGCAGTATTTTCTTGGATCAGTTTCCCAATCAAAAGCAAGAGAAGCAAAAATAAATGGGACCTAATCAAACTTAAAAGCTTTTGCACAGCAAAGGGAACCAGCAACAAAATGAAAAGACAACCTACACAAAAGGAGAAAAGATTAGCAGACAATGCGACCAACAAGGGGTTAATATCCAAAATATACAAACAGCTCATACAACTCTATCAAAAAACAATGAACACAATAAAAAAAAATGGGCAGAAGACCTAAATAGGCATTTCTCCAAAAAGGACATACAGGTGGCCATCAGTCACATGAAAAGATGCTCAACATTGCTAATTATTAGAGAAATGCAAATCAAAACCCCAATGATATATCATCTCACACTTGTCAGAATCACTATCATCAAAAGGCCTACAAATAATAAATGCTAGAGAGAGTGTGGGGAAACGGGAACACTCCTATCTTGTTGGTGGGAATGTAAATTGGTGCAGTGACTATGGAAAACAGTATGGAGATTCCTTAAAAACTAAAAATAGAGCTACCGTATGATCTAGCAACCCTAATCCTGGGAATATATCCCCAAAAGATGAAAACTAATTTGAAAAGATACATGCACCCCAATGTCTATAGCAGCTCTATTTATAATAGCCAAGATGCATAAACAACCCAAGTGCCCATCGACAGATGATTGGCTTCAGAAGATGTGGCATATGTATACATATACATACACACAATGAAGTATTACTCAGCCATCAAAAGGAGGAAATACCATTTGCAGCAACACGGCTGGACCCAGAGATTATCATACTAAGTGAAGTAAGTCAGACATAGAAAGACAAATATCATACAATATCACTTACATGTGGAATCTAAATACAAATGAATCTATATTCAAAGCAGAAAGAGATTCACAGACATAAAAAACAAACTTATGGTTACCAAAGAGGAAAGCAGTAGGCAGGGATATAAATTAGGTTTAGGAGATTAACAGATACAAACTACTGTAAATAAGAGATAAGCAATAAAGATTTACCGTGTAGCACAGGGAACTATATTCAGTGTCTTGTAATAACCTATAAAATGGAATATAATCTAAATATATAGATATATAACTGGATCTAACACATTATCGTAAATCAACTATTTCAATTTTTTAAAAAGCTGTGTGATAAGTATACGGATATTTGTTACATTTTATCCTTGAGGGAAATACTCAACAACATAAATAAAATCTTTTTTAAAGAAACAGAATCAAGACTGGTTCTGCACACAGGCCTGAGGGAACCCAAGGAAGGGACGCAGGGAAGGCAGGAAGAGGAGAGGGCTTGAAAGTGCCACTGGATGAGGTTTACGTTCACTCATTCACAGATGGTCTTTAACTATCTTCTAGGTGCACCGACAAGAGTCTGCACTGCCCTGAACTGGGTGCTCACTGTTTGAAGGGCCCAGCAAGTAAGCAAGTGTGCATGGACTAGCTTCAGGAGAGCCAAGTGCTAGGTACTAGGGGAAGGTCTGCAAAAGGAGGCCTTTAATCCACAGTTGGTAGGAAAGAGCTGGGAAGACTTCTCAAAAGAAAGAAGTCGTAGCCGAGTTTTAGAAGGAATGAATAGGAGTTGGTAGGAGGTGCTTCATGCAGGGAAACTGTACTTGACAAACCAGTTTGTAATGGCTAGAGGTCAGGGAACAAGGCAGTAGAAGTGAAGGAGGCTTGGGAATCCCACAGCCATGCAAAGCGATGGGTTTAAATCCTGTAGACTGTTGCTTTTTGGAGGATCTTAAGACGAGGAAATGTCAGGGCAGAAGGGCAGTGAGTACAGCTGTGAAGATCCTGGCCTCGCCAAGGGCTGGAATCTAGCATCCAGTTCTGGCTCTGAAACTTACTACCTTTTGTAACCGTAGACACGTTCCTTAAGCTCTCGTGCTTCAGTTTCCTCATCTATACAGTGGAGATAATATCTGTCTTACAAGCTGTTCTCAGCTTTAAGTTCATTCATGTTAAGCATTTAGAGCTCTGCCTGAGCATGTAGAAGGTGCTTAGTGATTACTAGGAAGTTTGAGCAGTTTTTATATCAAGATTAGATAATGTTTTGAAAAGACGGGCGGTGACAGCACTGGGGACAGTGTATGGGGTGGAGGTGGGGCTGGAGTGGGGAGATTACAGGCTGAGACACCTTTCTTTAGTTAAGGTGTGGGCCCCTGAGCAGCAGAGTCAGGATCACCTGGGAACTTGTTAGAAATGCTGATTTCCTGGGATGGGGCCCAGCAATCTAGCGTTTGGCAAGCCCTCCAGGTGAATCTTATGTGCAGTCAAGTCAAAGCACGGGTCCAGCTGAGAAGAAATAAGAAACTGAATAAAACATAACCATACAGAGGGCTCCTCATGGCCTATGAACCAAACATTAACTGGTTTCAACAACAAGTCAGGTGTTATCCCTATTTTACAGATGGAGAAACCAAGGCTCAGAAAGGCTAAGGGCCTTGCTATTAAGCAGTAACCCTAGGAATCTGACCCAAAGCGGATGCTTTTAACTTCTATGCTCTTCTCCTCCTAATCGGAAAGTGCCCAGAGGAAAGAGGGAATTTCAGGGATAGTTAAGTGATAGAATTAGCAAGTCTTACTAGGAAATTAGCTGTGGGCACAGGGGGAGGTGTTAATGTTGGATTTGGACTAATGCTGCCATTCTCTGATTCAGGCTAAATGAATGAGGAAGCAAGTTTAAAGCATAATAAATTTTAATTTAAAAAATTTATTAATTTTTTAAAAACTTTGAATTCCCTATAGGAAAACCCGAATGCAGAGTCCTGGTAGGCTGGGAAATACAGGTTTGGCAGACAGAAGGATACAGCCAGGGGTGGCTGAAGATGTGGTTGTGGCCAAGAGGATCCCAGCTAAGTAGAGCAGAAGACAAGGGAGGGGACTGAGGACAGACTCCTGGGCAACAGGTGGAGGAAGAAATTGCCGCAGAGTAGACAGGGCAAAAACACTGAGCAGAGATAAAGGAGAAAAAGGGAAAGAGAAGGGTCTTGGAAATCCAGGAGAAAATCAGCTCAAGGTTGGTGCAAAGTGGGGCTGGATTAGCATCCGCTATTACTAAGTGTCCCAGCCATACTGCAAAGCAGAACTGATAACCGTCCCTCTTCCTGCTACCCCTCCCAGGTGAGTAAACGGGTACCTGACACCCAAGACAGAAAGGCCCTCCCAGATGGCAGAATGGTAGGAGAGGTACCCTAAGCCTGAGGCGGTCATTAATAAAAAATTACCAGGATGCTGACAAAGGTCAGTGTGCATGCCCTATCAAGTTTTAATTGATGCAGTAAAGTACTCTTAGCATGCAACTCCATGTAACAGCAGTAACCTTGATGAATTCTGGCTGGTGTGGATTCAGGGAGGTCAGCTGTACTAAGAAGCCTCATTCATCACATTCAGTACACTTGTGGTTTTGTGTTACACTCCCAGTGCCAGTTAGCACTTACAGTGATCGTTTGCCTATTTTCTCGTCTCAGTTCCAGTGTCAGAGCCAGCACACATGCAAACAAAAACCTCACTAAATAGGGTAACGGCAGCTGCTAGGTGAAAGGGCAGGTGTGGGTTTGAAGTCTCACACGAAGGACATAGCACTTATTGAGTGTTCCTCCTGGCCAACATTCCAGAGAGGTTCTCTCATCCTGTCCTGTGGAGCACCCTTGAGGCAGTAACAGCAAAGAGCCAGCTCAGTGAGTGACTGAGGAAGCTGAGTTTCAGACGGCTCTTAACTTGCCAGGGTCAGCCCACTAGTAAGTAGGAGCTATGATTTGAAACCCCTGCCCATCTCACTCCAGAGCTCCATTATTTCCATTAATGATGCCAAAACGGAATTGTACAGTCAGGCCGCATGCCTTATAAGGTTGTCATAAAATTCAAATAAATAAAGGTACATGAAAGCACTTTTAAACTTTAAGAAAGCTACACGAAGGCAGGACAGTTTTAGTTTCCACTATTAACGTCAAAAGGATCTTGAAAGTATAATAGACGCTTCAAAATAATCTCTAAGAGTACATTTGTCTTAGCTTAGAAAGAGAATTTTAACGTATTACCATTTTCTCTTGACTTTGCTGTTTATCACTACCTCCAGGAGCTCCTTTTTATACATACCACTTTGTGGGAACCATCTCCCCTCCACTAACACACCCCGGGGAACTTCCCCCTCCCTAGGCTATAGGGAAATACTGACAAGAGAAACCAAAAGAGTGAGCCTTAAACCTCTCTGCCTCAGTGGCTGTGATAGAAGGGTGTGCTTGATTATATTCCTGGTGTCAGTACCCCCGGCCACCTTGTGGCCTCCCTGAGGTCCTGGGAAACCACAGAGGAAAGCCTGGCCCAAGCTAGCCCTTGGAGGCTTGGGAAACTGACCTCATGCCCGCCGATACCATGGGTGCACGCTATGAGCTGTTCCATGCCTGTCTCAGACACAACCTTGCGACTCTCCTGGTTTCCATTTTACAATCACCTCCCCCATTTCCCAGTCAGCCAGCACCGCCTGTCCCTGTTACAGTCACATCGATTATCAAGAGATACCGAAGTGGGAATTGGGGTATTTAGAGGACCACAGTTAGGGTCAGACTTCTGGATGGGCCCAGGCTTCCAATATTTTTGCTTCCAAATGTGTTTTTCAAAGCTAATATATGTCCTTCCCCATAAACAGCATCTGTATATCAAAATCCTAAGTTACATGAAACAAAAGAAAGGCGGTCCCTAACATACTTACTATATTCTAATCACAACACAGGCTATAGAAACAGCATTCCTTGAGCCAAAAAGGAAAGTTTCCTGAGGTCACTCCTTTAGTGTAATCCACCAGAACTTAGAAAAAGAATGAGGTGTCAGACAAGACTTCTAAGTAAAAGAACTGTTCTAATCTTAGGCAAGATTATCTAAATACCTCTGCCTAGCCTCCCTCCTGAAGTGGAGACCCAAAATGCTTCACCCCATTCAGTTTCAGTACCTTGATAAGCTGTAACCGCAGGCTAGATGACCGCTAGGGTCCCTTCCGGCAGAAATTCAGGGAGGTAAGAAGCTTGTATTCCTGAGAAGCACCAAGAAGTAATCAGATGTCCTTTATCTGTCTGATTAGGCAAAGGTCAGGCGCAGTTAAGGCAGAAAGTTCAGGAAGATACCACAGGTGCAAGCCAAGCGTAGGGGTTAGGATGACCTTGTAGTGACCTGGAAAGAAAGCCACAGGGAACAAACAACCACTGAGTACTGACTATGTGCCAGGTGATTTCTTAGACCTTGCTATGTATTGCTGAAAACGAGAGAGCTTGGTTCATTTGCCTGGGGGCATTTAGCCGGACTGTGAAGCCAGGCTGTCTGATCTAAAGCTCGTGTCCTTTCCATCACAGGCTGGCAGAACAGCTCTTCCTTGTTTTTGTTGATGGCATCCACGTGTTCTGCATCCTGAGGCAGCAACAGCAACGCTCTGTGATGCGGGTTCAGCCAGTTTAGCTCACCTGCTGATGGTGCGGGTGAATCCCAAACAGCTTTTCTCTAGGCGCCACAGAGTGTGAAATGGGGCAGCCAGGCACATCAGTAGCATCTTCCTCTGCCTAGGCAGAGATGGGGAAGAGAGCAAAGTCTAACAGAAGTGGCCTTTTCTCCTTGTCTCCCTTCTCCCTCCCGTCTTCCCCCAGCCCATTTTATTGTAGGGCTTCAACACAGGAGGCCAATTTTTAAAAGTACTTTTCCAAATGGTTCAAGTGGGCCAGTCCCTTTCCCCATAAGTGGCAGCAATGAAATTTCTACATTCTATCCTGTTGGACTGGGTGTTCTAGTATTTCAAAGAGTTCCTGCTCTCACTTTGGTTCATTGTTCCACCCCCGAGCAATTTGTGAACATCCAAATGACTCAAAATTTTATTATTATAAGGGCTGTCCTTACACATAAATGGAGTTAGTCATCACCTACCTGATATACTTTGAAAAAGAAAAAGTTTCCTTGTTCAAATACACATCTCCTACTAGCATATGACAATCCCTGAACTGCTGCCATTGCAGATTGCTGACCTTGTGTTAGTAAACCAGGTTTCTGTTAATTCAGTGTTCCTCGAACACCTAGGATCCTCAAACCAAAGTAATAGAAATCCCGATGAGGGGGTTGGGGTGGTGAGGGAAGGGGTAGGAAAATGGGAGGTTTTGGAGGCTTGGAGCATTGCTTGTGAGAAAGAGACCCGAGCAGGGTGCCTCAGGAGAGAAAAACCTTTAAGTGTTGGGTGCTGGGGGATGTGGTTAGGGCCCTCACCCCAGCCGCACCGCCAACCCCTGGGAGGAGCGAGAGGATGAGATCCTTTGAGACAAAAATCAGGCCATCTCAGTTTTGCCTGAGCTTGCTTCTGCTTGTAACGTAAACTAAAGGCAATACAGGAAGTTCTCAAACTTGATGTCACATGTGTAGAATATTTATGGTTGGTGTGATACAGGGCCCCTTGGCCACACAGGAAAGAGCTAATTCTGAGAGAAGTAAGCGTTGCTTTTAAGTCTGTAGAAAGTGGTTTTGACTGTCTTCAGAAGCAGAGTGGGCCTGTTGTAGCTCATCATTGGAAGGCAAGATACTTCTCATTGCTGTTGATAGAGAAATATTTGCTGAAAGAATGAATAAAAAGAATAGGAGATGCAAGATTAAATGACACAAATGGGAGACGTACAAGGCTAAACCTTACCTCGTGTCAGAATGATTGGTTTATTTCCCAAGTAAGTAAAACCATATCGTGGATAGATATTAATGGCGATTCTTGCTAGGAACACCAGAGTTAAAGTGACTCTACAAATGGTTCCATTTTCCCAGTTCCAAGACACTCCTAACAGATGATTTTGCTGTCTTCAGGACATCCTTCAGTTCTGAACACTTTAGTCTCTTTTGTGGTGCTTTTTGATTTATGGTCTAACATACTCGGATAGGGTCGTGGTAGTCCACCAGCTGACTTCAGCATTTCTTGGTTGTCTCTGGTTAATAGGCTGTACCTGTGATGTCCTCTTTTATTTTCTTCACCAGAAACCATAGAAATAAAAGGGAAGTGGTATACCAATCAGTCTGAATCAAGCTAGGACTCAGGTTTCCTAAGAAGGAGAAAAATGAGAATCCAATCAGTCCTAAATACAGAACTACTTTTGGGACGGTGTTAATTATCTGAGTCAGGGGTGGCGTATAGAGATCTCCCTGACCATCCTCTTCATATGATACACTTCCTGACTTGACATGTCTTTATTGCTAAGTTGTTCACCTCTGGGGGATGGCTGATTATGAGTGCACGTATGGAACAGTAATACAGGGACAAACTGGACACTAAAGATTTATATTTAAGTACAGAAGATCAGGCCCTTGTGAAGTTAATACTGTGAACCTTCCATCCAGGGTGCCTGAGTTCAAGTCCCATCTTTTCCCTAGGTGACCATGGGCAAGTTACTCAACCTCTTTGTGTCTTAGTTCCTCCATTTGTAAGGTGGGGATAATGAGAGTATCATTAATAGAGGTGCTGTGAGGACTATGTGAATTAATACACTTAAAGCACTTAGAACAATGCTTGGTACTGAGTAGGCGCTCAATAAATGAGCTATTACTATCTTTCAGTAAATGGTGACTTTTACAGAGATAGTCATAGAGTTTGACTGAGCTAAGCCAGGTGCTGGTTAAGTATCGCAGAGCTTGGAGGAGTTTGTGATGCTGAGTATGCATTTCTTCATGTTTATCCTCTTTTTTTCTTTTTTTCCATGTTACCTTCCGTCTCTTTGCCTAGTCATTATCAACTGTGGTCATCAGTCAGGGCATTCCACGTGCATTTAATTCTGCTTTCAGAGCAGAGATCCATGATTTTAAGACTAAAAAGAAATGTGACAAGCCCATTTTTCCTGCCGAGAATGTAAGTGACTTTCTTGTGTCCATTCCTTCAGCAAGAGACTAAGTCACACCACCTCACGTAAATTTACAACAGAGGGCTGGTTTAGGTTGTATATGACTGTAAATATGGTTGAGTTTTATATTTCTTTTAAAAAGCAAAATTGATTCCAACCCGATACCTTTTTATTCTTTATTATAAACGCATCTTCTTGGTGTGTGTTATAATCCAGTCTCTCCTCTTCAGTAATTAGCCTGAAAATCATGTTAAAGTCTTCCATTTTCTTTAGAATTGCCTTTCACCAATTAAAAGACAGCCCTGAGGACTCTCCTGGAAAAGTGATCCAGCGCTCTGCCCTCTTAGAAAGCAGGGTGACTGAGTGAGGAAGCAGTAAGGAGGGGGCATGGGTTTTTTTCATCTGAAGCTATTTTAGCATTGAAACTTCCAAGGTTCGGTTTCTCTTGGAATTTTATGAGGCTCGTACCTCGCATTTTAAATTATAATGTATAACTTCTACCATTTGGTAAATTCAAGTAGAAAGCGCTGAACAAAACTGCTTCCCATCTGCTCAGCAAAATGGAGCCTGAATTCAATAAACTTCTCCAATATAAATGCTAAAATCTGATTTCCACAAGCCTTTGGATCTTTAAAAGTTGACTTCCAGAAAGCTGGTTCTGGATCCCCAGCAACATACACTCCCTTTGGAAACTGAGTGTAAATCTACCAGGTTTGGGTCTAAGGTGAGTTGTTCCTTTTGTGTTCCCTTTCTCAGGCAGCAGGAATTTGCCAGAGTTCATGATCATGCTTCGAAAAGTGATGGCTGGCCGATTGCTTGGGGCTTAATGAAATACATCCTATGTCTGGATAACCTTTACTTTCTTCTTTACATTAAGTTATTTCTTTTAAGGAGTGACAGTTCAGCATTTTTTATTCAAAATTTTGAAGTAAAATGCTCAGTTTTAGAATTGTTTCTGAATCACAGCTTCAGAGATTTAATTAGTAAGTAGTGCTCAGATGCTCCTTTTTCAGAACTCCTCAGCTGAGTGTCATTCAGCCATCGTACCAAGGGACTGACATGACGTGTGTTCTTAATTTAAGTTCTTCAGGGCTGGGAATTTCCCATTCCATGTTAGTTTAAATTGGCAAGTGAGCAAGAGGAATACATTCCCTAATTCTCCATAAGGTTAAACATGTGAACTGAAAATAGAGCAAGAGAAAATTAAGTACAGTAATTTACTATCTACAGTGCTGAAATTGAGCACTATAGCATATGGTGAAAGTCTTTACTATTAATTAAGCAATCACAGAAAATTCCATATGGATGATTTGTGAACATTCTAAAGTCAGGTTGGGAATTTGCTTCTCTATGTTTTTTTCCTAAGCATGATTTTCTTAAATAGCTCCTGGGTCTACATAATCATATCTGCAACTCAGTGATGTTTGAGAGTTTTGACATTTCTTAATGTCACTAATTTCCATATTGAGATTTGACATATCTGGACGCATGTTAAATCAAATGTCCTAGGCATCATCATATTAAAAGGATATTTCAAAAATCTTTCTCAAGTATAGAAGAGAGAAAAAAAAAACCTTTCAGTCATTTATTTATTCAACTCCCCGCACCCCTTGCACTCACAAGCATAGAGCATCCACGCACACCCAGTCCAAGCCTCCCTCCCCACCAACTTTGGCTAATTCCAATTGATCAGGCAAAACTCAGCTCAAATATCTGCTCCTCATATGATTGTAGATGGGTTTCGGTGGCTTGCCTGTCTCAACTTCAACCATAATAGAGTCATTTTTCTATCTTCTTCCCTCTGACACCCCCATTAAACTGTGACTTCACTTAGGGACTGCATCTTTTTTTTTCCTGAGCCCCTGGCTCACATCAGAATGCCTTAGCAGAAAGCGCTTGTTAAAAGCTTGCTAAATGAATGAATAATTTTAGCCTGCAGGCTGGCTAGCAGAGGGGTTCAGAGACTAGGTAAGCATCATTTATAAACTCAGCCAGAATCTTGTTGCAGCCAGAGTGGCAGAAACCCAGCAAGTCAAGACAGTGCCCCCCTGGGGTTCAGAACTCCTTCAGGGGCTGTTTGAGGCCAGACCAACTCGGGAGCCCCATGCTGAGATGCCCTCCCATCCCCAGGTCCCTGTTGCCTGGCCGCGTTGTGCTGTCTGTAAGCCATAGCCAACCCTGTGTGAGTGAGGCTCCTACAGACTTTATGCTTATTCAGGAACTCGCAGAAGTAAGATAGGTAGAAACATTCCACCTGGAGGAGCCCTAAACAAAATTCGGTTACATGAATCATGCTTAATGTTTAAACCCTTGCTATCTATTCAAGTCAGAGGTTGACTTCATTACATTTGCCTGGAAAGCAGAGTGGGCACAAGTGAAAAAAAAAATATCTTCAGAAGACAGTTCAACGTTGGGTGGGCCCAAAGGGCAGTGGGGCTGTGAGAAGCTTCAACCAGAGGGAGGACTTTCAGCGATCCCGAGAGTAGTGTTGAGGTAAATGGAGGTTGTGCCCCTTGAAGTGTTCTTATTTTTCGGTTCAAGAGATGCCTCCCGCAGTACACAAGTTAAACAGCTTGGGGGTCAAGAGGGGACCTACTTAGAACCCAGTGTTCTCTAGTTAATGATAGAATCTTGTTCCTAACCGACCTGGCCAGCTCCTTTATGTTCTGATAGCTGATGCCTTAAGAGTCCATTTAAACCCTTCGACCTCTGACTGCTAAGGAAGCCTTCCTTTGCACACTCGAAAAACATGAGCCTTTAGGTTTTATTCAACAGAGGCTCAAGCTAGCATCCTGGAATATACCCCAGTTCTGGGGAGGTGCCCGGAGTCCTAGACTGAGCAGCTGAAATGCAGCTTAAGGTCTG